AGAGCATCTATTTTCTGGGCAGACAGAGGATTGAGTTAGCAGCTGTGTCCTTTTTTTTTATCTGTTGTCCCACAGCAAGGACATTTTATCATTATTTTATGGGCACAAAGGAGACTAGGGGAATAGTTGACTTCAGTGAAGTGGAATTCATCTCAAGGCCACTTCACTGTCTTATTTTAAGATGGAGAGTCAAACTTTAAAATGGAGTTAGTCAGGTCTCACACTATAGTCTGTATAGTGAAGTAATGTGAAAAGAAACAGGTGTAATCAACCTTGGAGCATAATCATACCTGCATAGTTCTTCTTTTAGTTAATGTCACTTGAAAATTTTTCCACTCCCAACGTTGCTCCACCACATGTCCAAAAACAACATGCCCATTTCCACAGGCTCCAGCAATCTGAGTGCCATCAACTGACCACGCAATATTAAATATGCTTCCAGTGTTGGGTTTTTCTAAAGCATATGACCACTGGGGAGAAGGGGGACAAAAGAAAAACTGGTTAATTAAAAAAAAAAAATTTAACAAACTTTTAAATTGAGTACATGTTAACATATTAAGATAATTTTTTAAAGATATCTTTTAAAAGAATGTACCTTTATCTGGAATTATTGAAAATGGTTTTTGTTTGTTTATTTTTTGAGACAAGGTCTCACTGTGTAGTTCAAGGTGGCCTTGAATCCACTATGTACCCCAGGTGGGCCTCAAACTCACAGAGATCCTCCTGCCTTAGCCTTCTGAGCACTGAGATTATAGGTACATACCATGACGCCTGGCCTGAAAATGTTTTTTCTTAATTAATATCCACCAATAATTATAATTTGAAAATTATTAAAGAACATTCATGTAAAAATATTTTTCATAATAAAATAATATGCTGAACTGAAGATAGATATTTTTAAGATACAGAGAAGAAAAACATGATGAAACAGTACATGAAATAGCTCAAGAATTGTAAAAATCCCCATTATTTCAATTCATGATTACTTATAAGTAATAATACAGAAAAAATAAGCAAAAATTCTACAGAAAAAGACAAAGACATCTTACGTCTTAAGGTTGTGGGACTGCATGATTCCAAAATCAATTATTCCCCTAGCCTCTATTGTACTTGTAAATTAATGGTTAAAATGTGCTTGTTAGTTCTGGGATAATAAAATCTGTAACGAAACAGAGTTCCTAAGTAAAATTGCTCAACCCCTTGTT